GGGTAAATAAGTGAACAATAGCAGCATTTATTGAGCATTGCCATGTCCAGGCACATAATCAGGAAATGAAGACTTAGTCTGCTAATAGTAGTGGAGCTTAAGTTTGAATCTAAGTATGTTTTCTTTGGAGCTTCCTGAAGTTTGGTGAGTTTTGAGTTAGGCTTTGAAAGGAGGGGGTGGTAGAAAGCAGGGTGAATGGCTTGCATTGAGGCATGGAGATGGGGATAAAATAATGTCTTGGCTAAGGAAAATAAGTTAACGTGTTCAGTTATCAAGTAGTACAGTGTCAAGTATGTGCTGTGGTTTAGTGATCTGAGTAGTGACATTGTGAAAATGGTGTTTGAAGATTATTTTATTAATGGTAAGGGATGGATTGAGGCCCAGGCCTTTTTTTCCCCTAACACTGCACAGCACATACTCAGATTTTGATAGTTTTATATACATGTACTGTGTTATGTATTAGTTATATACACAGTCATTTGTGTGCATGTGTGTATAGTTCTATGCAATTTTATTACATGTGTATCTTTGTGTAGCTATCACTAAACTGAAGATACAGAACTGTATCCTACCACAAAGTTCCCTCAGGCTACCCCTTTATAGCTGAACCCAACCCCTCGCACCACATCCCTAACAACCTCCCAGCAATCTCTAATCTGTTCTCCATCTCTATTATTTTTGTTACTTCAAGAGTGTTACGTAAATGGAGTCATAAAATATGTAATTTTTGGGGATTGGCTTTTTTTTTCACTCAGCATAACGCCCTTGAGGTTCATCCAAGTAATTGTGCATATCAGTTTGTTCATTTTTGTTACTGAGTAATATTCCTTTGTATGGATTTACCATAGTTTAACCATTCACCTGTTGAAGGATATTTGGGTAGTCCACAGTCTTTGGCTATTATGAATATAGCTGCTATGAACATTCATATACACAGGTTTCTGTGTGAACATATGTTTTTATTTCTCTGGGATAAATACCCAAGCATACAATTGCTGAGTTATACAAATCCATTTTTAGTTTTAAAAGAAATGACCGAACAGTTTTCCAGAGTGGCTGTACTACGTTTAAAATTCCCACCAGCAATGTACGAGTGATCCAGTTTCACCACATCCTCACTAACATTTGGTCTTATCACTGAAAAAGAGAATTTTTTTTAGCCATTCTGATAGGTTATTCTCCATTGAATTGTTTTCGCACCTTTGTCAAAAATCAATGGGGCACATTTGTGTGAATCTGTTTCTGGGTTCTCTGTTAGTTGTATGTGTGTTTATCTATCCCTCTGTCAATACCACACTGTCTTAATTACTCTAACTATATAAGACGTCTTGAAATTGGATAGTGTGAGTCCTTCAACTTTGTCTTCTTCACTGTTGTGTTGGCTATTCCTAGAATAGCCTTAAATAAACTTCAGAATGAGCTTGTCTATGTATACAAAATACTTTGCTGGAATTTTGATATAAATTGCATTAAACCTGAATATAGTCAATTTGGGGAGTGTTGACATCTTCACTATGTTTAGTTCTCTAATCCGTGAACATGGTAAGTCTCTCCAATTATTTAGATCTTCTTTGCTTTCCTTCATCAATTTTTGTAATTTTCAGTATACAGATCCTGTTCGTATTTTATTGGATTTATACCTAAATATTTCATTTTGGGGGTACAATTGTAAATGGTACGTGTTTTCAAATTTTGGTTTCCACTTGTTTGTTCTTAGTACATAGAAATACAGTTGATTTATGTGTGGTGATCTTGTATCTTGCAACCTTGCTGAACTCTGCTGTTAGTTCCAAGAGCTTTTCTTGTAGAGTCCTTGGGATTTCCTTTATAGACAAACATCTCGTCTACAAATAGGGACAGTTTTATTTCTTCTTTTCCAATCTGGATGCCTTTTATTTCTTTTTCTTACTTCATTGTGGTGGCTGGAACTTCCATTACTATGTTTAATAAGAGTGATGAGAAGGGACATCCTTGCCTTTTTCCCAGTCTTAAAGGGAAAGTATTCAGTCTTTCACCATTAAGTTTGATGTTAGCTATAAGTTTTTTTGTATGTTCTTTGTGAAGTTGAAGAAATTCTTCTCTATTCCTACTTTTCTGAGAGCTTTTATCATGAATGGTGTTAGATTTTTAATAAACGCTTTCCTATGTCAATTGATGGGATCATGTAATTATTTTTCTTTAATCTGTTGATACAGTATGTTACATTGATTTTTTTTTTTTTTTTTAGTGTTATACCAGCCTTCCGTACCTAGAATACATACTACATGGTTGTGGTGTATTATCTATTGCTGGATTTAATTTGCTAATACTTTGTTAGGGATTTTGCAGCTAAGTTCCTGAGAGATACTGGTCTGTAGTCTTCTTGTGATGTCTTTGTCTGGTTTTGGTATTGGCAATACTGGCGTCATAAAATTAATTGGGAAGTGTTCCTGCTTCTTCCATTTCTGGAAAACATTGTGTAAAATGGCTGTTAATTTTTCTTTCAATATTTGGTAAAATTCTGCAGTGAAACCATCTGTGCCTAGGGATTTTTTCGAGAACTTTTCAATTACAAATTTGGTTTCTTTAATAGTTATAGGATTATTCATGATATCTACTTTATCTTGGCTGAGTTTTGATAATTAGTTGTTTTCAAAGAATTGATCCATTTTTTCTAAATTGTTGAATTATGAGCTAAAGTTGTTTGTAGTGTTCCCTTATCTTTTTAAAAAAAATTGAGATAAAAGTCACATAACATAAAATTCACCATTTTAAAAGTGTACAATTCAGTGGGTGTTTTTCAGTATATTCACAGTGTTTTGCAACCATCACCACTATCTTACTCTGGAGCATTTTCATCACCCCAGAAAGAAATCCTATACCCATTAAGCAGTAACTTCCCATTCTCCTCTTCTCCCAGGCACTGGCAACTGCTAGTCTGTTTTCTGTCTCTAGATTTGCCGGTTCCGGATATTCCATATAACTGGAATCATACAATATGTGGTCTTTTGTGATTGTTTTATTTCACATAGCTTGTTTTCAAGGTTCATCCATGTTGTTGCATGCATCTGTACTTGTTCCTTGGCTCATGGCTCCATCACTCTGACCTCTGCTTTCATTGTTTCATTTCCTCTGAGTCTGACCCTCCTGCCTTCCCTTTATAAAGACCCTTGTAATTACATTGGACCCAACCAGATAATGCAGGATAATCTTTCCATCCTTAATTTAATGTGATAACATGTGCAAAATCTTTTTTGCCATATAAGGTCACATTCACAGGTTTCAAGGATGAGGACATGAACATCTTTTGGGGGCCATTATTCTACTTACCACAGGGATTTTAGATCTTTTATTATCATCCCACTGCTCCCTGAGACTGTGTTCTTTTTGTTAGTCTATTTTCTCTCTTTTGTTTTAGATTGAGTAAACTACTGATCTTGTCCTCAAGTTCACCAGATTTATCCTTTGTCATCTCTACTCTACTGCTGGGCTTATCCAGCAAATTTTTTACTTTGGAAAGTGTATGTTTCAGTTGTATAATTTCCATTTGGTGCTTTTTTTTTTCCTCCCTGAGGAAGGTTGGCCCTGAGCTAACATCTGTTGCCAGTCTTCCTCTTTTTGCTTGAGGAAGATTCGCCCTGAGCTAACATCTGTGCCAGTCTCTTTTCCTCTATTTTGTATGTGGTTCGCCACCACAGCATGGTTGCTGATGAGTGGTGTAGGTCTGAACCTGGGCTGCTGAAGTGGAGTGCGCCGAACTTAACCACCAGGCCATGGGACTGGCCCCTTGGCAATTTTTTTTACAACTTCTGTTTCTTTCTGAGATTTTCTGTTTTTTTATTTGTTTTAAGACAATTCTTAATTGTTTGTTGAAGCATTTTTATGATGGCTGCTTTAAAATTCTTGTCAGATAATTCCAATATGTGATTCATTGTTGTCTTGGCATCAGTATGGTTGTCTTTTCTCATTCAAGTTTGTTTTTCCTGGTTCTTGGTATGATGTGTGATGTTTTAAAAAATTATATCCTGGACCTTCAGAATATTAATGCTACGAGACTCTTGATCCTATTTAAATCTTCTGTTTTAGTAGGTAGTTACTCTATTTGGGTTTAGTGTGTAGGTCCTAGCCTACTTTTGTGAGCTGTGTAATTCCTGTGATAATTTAGTTTTCAGAGTTCTTGCAGTGCTATTCTCTTCTGTTTTATTCTTTTGGCGCAGCGGGCACTCCTGTTTGATCTCTACAGGTGTTACCTGGGCTTACTGATGGGTGTGGGTTCCCAGCTCTGCTACTCCCAAGGACAGATTGGCTGGACATTGCCCCAGGTGTGGGACAGGGACATAGTTGGCCCTGTGGTCAATCTGGCCTACTGCTGTCTGGGTGTGGGGTGGAGACCCTGCTGATGTTGATACTGACACTGTAGTGGATTGGGTCCCACACTGTCCTGGGTAGAGACTGGGGAATCTGTCTCCCCTCTAGGTCTCTGCAGAGCTTCCCCTTTGACAGTCCTTTAGCCAGAAAGCAGGATTTTCTCATTTGTTTGTTTATCTGTCTGTCTATCCCTATTTGTGGTTCTGGGTTTCAGGCTGTTCTGGTGCCCACTCATGGACATATGGGAGATAAAAGGAAACCCAGTGAACTCACAGTGGTGCTTTCCCTCACATCCTGAGCCCCCTAGCCAGTCCACCCTCTTCTTACTACCTTTCAGAGTCATTTTATGATTATTGAATTATTTCTAGGATATTGAGTTGTTTTTAGAAGAGAGGAGCAGGGAAATGTGAGCCATAATTTAGAACTGGAACCCTAACAGGTTTTTTTTGCTCTAGTATTTATTGGTGATTCTATGAACTGGTTGAGGCTTTTGCTTTTATTGACACCCTACTTTTTAGAGTGTTTCTCTGCATCTCATGTTGAGTTTAAGAACAAGATAAGAATTATTCTTCTCTTGATTAAATTGTGTGGGAATTAGAAATGTCATGTTTTTATGTGTCTATTTATTTGCTCATTTATGTATTTATCTTTAGGGAGTGGAGCAACGGCTGTGGTCCAAGCAGCGTATTGTGCCCCTAAAAAGGAGAAAGTGGCAATCAAACGGATAAACCTTGAGAAATGTCAAACTAGCATGGATGAACTCCTGGTATGCACATCTCATATTTCTTATATGGAGTGATATACTCTTGTGTATTCATATTAGAGTGGGAAATAAGTTGAAGTTTTTTATTTCTTTTTGGAAAAATGGTTTGTGATTTTTTTCATTAAGTAGTAAAGTTTATAAAAATCAAGATAAGTAGGGAGAAAAAAATTAGTTGTCCTGTCATGCTGAGATTTAACACTTGCTATATAATCTTTCAGACTGCGCATTTAAACATCTTTGTATTTTTATGATAATGTAATCATAAACTTGTTCTTTTCATTGAAAAATTTATCATAGAAGTCTTTCTGTATCTATAAATATGAATTAATATAATTTTCAATATGTATGTAGTATTCATTAAATAGGTAGACCACACTTTATTTAACCTATTCTCTAGTATTGGACAATTACTTTGTTTCCTCTTTTTTATTGTTATAAACAATGCTTGCTTACTTCTCTCTTTCTTTAAAATAGTATCATTCAATTATGATTCCTGAGTCAAATAGAATATCCTTTAAAAGACTTTTGGCCTCCTAGGAACATGGTACCAATCTGCATTCTGACCATTTATGCAAGATAGGAGAGAGAATGACCCCAGGGAGCATTGGCATATCCTAGCAAAGGCTAGGAAAAGGCAGAAGAAAGGGAGTCCCAGGGATCAATAGCTGTAAGAGATGTTCTGTAGCCTTAAAAGCTAGTCACACAGGGACTGTTTTCTACTTCTTTTATGCACCATGACACCCAGAGTAGTTTTAACTATGTACTAACTGCTCAGCAAGGGAAATGAGATAGTTTTTCAATTATTTAACTTTTTAAATCCTCAATTTCTTTGGCTTAAAGGAAATAATATCTGTTTTGTGTACTCATGAGGTTTTTCTTGAAGATCAAATGATACAGTACTTGAAAACTGCCATACAAATATGAACTAATATTGTTATTTTATTAAGTAATTTCTCTAAAATGGTGTACAGGTAGTGATAGAAAGGGCAGGAATTAAGACTGGGATGATCTGACGGTGCAGAAGTTTTTTTCCATTGTCCTAGATTGGATTTAATTTCTAGTGTAGTCTGTACTGATTTAGGAAATAATTGGAATCAAAGGAAAAGAGATAATAGAATTATATATCGAACTTTCAAGCAGATGAAACAAATGTATTTCTTCAGGAGTTGGTAATGCATGAGCAGAAGCTGAAGAAGTGGGTTCCTCGAGTGATCTTGAGCCGTCTTTGGTGAGCGAACACACACTTGGAAGGAGATGCTGATTGAAATCTTTTTTGATGATCTTGGACTTACAGATTCCAGCAATACCTTAGAGCACCATTTGGACATTTGAACTGCAGTCATCATAAAAGACGTCTAAACTGTAAACTAGTTCTGTTAAAGAAAAACAATATTTTTAACCTATGTATTGACTGGAATTTGAGAAGCTCAATATAAATTCCTATCATTTGCCAGTTATTTTACATAATCCATAAGGATAGTGTAAATATGAATGAAAGTCTTATTATTTATTACTTCATGACTGAAGAAACTGAGGCTCAAAGTTTTAAATAACATGATAATAATAGCAAACATCTTTTCAGCACCAGGCACTTAAGTGTGCTTTAACCTCATAACTCTCTCTTTGAGATAGGCAGTAGCTCCATTTTATAGATAAGGGCAATAAATCATGGTAAGTGATAGCCTGGATTGAAAATCAGGTCTCTCTGACTCAAGTCTATTATTGTCTACTTCATATAACAAAATGATTATCATCTTAGTTAAAAAATAGAAAGAACATCTATTCGCATATCTTTTGATATACTTGAAAGTAACATTTGTGTTATTACTCTAGGGCCTTTCTTAGAGGAATGCAAATTTGATATAGCCTAGTAAAAGGAAAAAAATTGGTTAGATTTCCCGTAAGTTTTGCTCACATATTCCAATAAGCTTTACTTTGCAAATATAGTATTTATATATTTGGTAAGTAAGTAAAGGTAGGGGAGTGACTTTTAGTAAAGCAAGTTTAAGATAATTGGTTTTTTGGGAGGCAAGCAGCTAAGATCCCACTAAACCCTGAAGAAACATCAGGAATATAAAAAATGCCTGATTTATTTGTGGTGTTCGTGGTGTCAGGACCTGAGATCTGAGTGCCAAGGGCTCTATTTCTGAGAGATATGAAGCCCTTCAGTTTGCCTTAAAAAAATCTGTTAGATCGACATACTAAACATTTGACGTTGTGATTTTAAAATTTTGTTTCAAAACTATCTTTATTATAATGCAGAAAAGGTGCTCTGGATCTCCAGAGAGTGCTGATGTAAACTGATTACAGGTGTCTATCTTGTGTGACAGTTATTAGTGAGGAGGCAGTATATTGTTCCTTTCTCTTGTCAAAATATTTTTTTTATCTGACAACCTTTGCTAAGTGTGATGGGAAAATCAGCTGTGAAATCTTATTCCATGTATTTTCTCCGAAGATTTTACTCACAGGCTTTTCTCAAAGAAGGCACACAGTGCAGTATTTTGCGATTTTTCTCTTTAGTAGATGCTATGACCAGGTTCATTGGACAAATATCTGAGAGGGGAGCATTAAGAGTTTTAGAGTTAAGGCTCTTGCCTGCTGTACAAAGCACAGTGTGACAAATGCCTAGGAAGGGTGTAAAGTACTGTGGAAGTAAGAGGAGGAAGAGAATTCCCAGTTACAAAGGTGGAGGCCTTGTGGAGATGTTTGTGTCCTGGACCACCAGGGCTTGGGAGACTTTGAACAGGCAGAGATGGAGACCCTGCTGGGCAGGGGTTTAAGAATCAGGAAGGAGTGACATGTATATTCATGAATATTAATATAACTGAAACAATATTTTCATAAAACAGTTCTTAATTATATGATGTAGAATGCATTCTAATTTTCTGTTCTATTTCTTTTTGTTTGTTTTTAACACGATTCACTAAATTTGTTTCATGACCCATGTGAGTTGCATCCCGTTGCTTGAGGAACACTGGACTACACAAGAGTTATTGAGACTCTAAATTCAGGCAGTGACAGTGACAATGGAAAGGAAGATAGAGATTCCCTAGACATTTTATAGATAGAAAAATTGTTAGTACTAGAATGAGCAATCCATGAGGGCAAAGACTTGTTCACTCTATATGAATGAATGAATGAATTAATTAATGTTACTTGGAGACTGACTGAATTGTGTGAAGTGGCGGAAAACTGCCTACGTTGGGATAATTAGAAAACTAGGGAGTAAGTGATAGAAGTTAAGATGAATGAGTTTCATGAAGCAGTGAAAAGTCATCCCTAAAAATTGCTTCAGATAGCTTCATGTGGAGAACTAAAAAGTCCAAACAAAAGATCTGGTGTTAGCAGATAATAGATGACTTTAAAGAAAACACTTTCATTAGTAGAGGTGGAATTCACTTATTAAGTGTTGAGGAAGCTTCTGAGAAATTTGAGTCAGAATGAATATACCACTCTTACAAAGCACTTATATAATTACTTTTCTTTTTGAAAGGAAAAGGAAAAGAATAACTTCAATGTCAGTTAAGATGAAGGAAGGTTCCTTGTCCCCCTTTAAAGGAATAGAAGAGAAGGAAAGGAATATTTAAGGCCCTTTTAACCTTTGAATTTTATGGTTCTCTGATAGTCTCCTGTTAGAAAACCCTTTGTAGTACCCTTTTTTCGGGATGAAGCTCAAAACCATTAGCTTAACATTTAAGACCTTAGACAATTTGATCCCAACTCTTTGCATTAATTGTTACTCTCCCATGTGATTTCTGTCTCTCTCACATCCCCCATCTGACTAGTCACCAAGTTCTCTTGTTTATACCTCTTTAATATTATCTCTTTACTCCTCTCTTTCTTTTCATTCATATTGCCACTTATTTTTTTAAACTTCCTATTTTGAGATAGTTGTAAACTTACCAAAGGGTTACAAGAGCAGTGTAGAAGCTTCCCATAAGCTGTTCACCCAGCACCTCCTAACAGTAATGTGACCACAGTGCAGTGATTACAGCCGAGCAATTAGCTATTTATCGTTTTTCAGGCCACTATCGTCTCTCACCCAGATCATGCCAATGGCCTTAAACTGAGTCTTTGTCTCTAGTCTTGCCTTCTCTTATTTATTTTCTACGTTACAGCCAGAGTGATTTTTGTGAAAAAATAAATATAGTTAAACCTTTGATGCCTTTCCGTTGCTGTTAGGATGAAGCCTAAATTCTTGAACACAGTTACAAGGTCCTTTAGGATATGATCCTGCATAATTAAACAATCGAAACTCATAGAAACCTCCTTATCTTTCCTATTTCAGTGTCAGTTCAGTAGTAAAACTTCTTATGGGAAACCTTCCCTGATTATTACTCATTGATAATTTGCCTCTCTGATGAATCATATAGTATCTAATACTTCCTCTATCAAACTGTTTCTTAATTTGTGTTGTAAGTTAGTATTTGTCTAACTTCTTCACCAGACTACAAGTTTCATGAGGCACCTACCACTGCACCTGGCACATAGTATGTGCTTGGTAAATATCTGATGAAACCATCAACTACTTACCCTAGACAGGTTTAGTCATTGTGTCCTGAAATCTGTCTTGCATATTTCATCATTTTTTTGTAATTATATATTCCTTGCACCTTGTGCTGCTGTTATATCTTTCCATCCTGCAGAACTAAACCTCGTTCCCACCTCCTCTGTGAAGACTTCCTGCCTACCTTAACTGTTCTTTCCCATGGATTCTCGTAACATTTAATATCTTTATTACTCATTTGGCACATATATGCTGTCCTATATATACTCTCTCATATGTACATATCTTATCTCTTCGAATCCTGTATAACTATGTCAATAGGCAGGTGCTTACTTTAGTTCCTTCTTCCTTTTCCTTCATATTTACCTTGCTTTTAGTACAGAAGACTGTGCTAGTGACTTTCAAGGGGTTGCGAAAATGCATATGACAAGGTTCTTGCTGTAAAGGAATTTACATTCAAGTAACAGAAGATGAGAAAAGAAAAACTAGGGTTTATCGAGCACTACTTTGAATCAGGGATTGTGGGCAACTTTTACACAATTGATCTCACTGAACAGATACCAAGGGCATAGGGCAAGTACATGAAGAAGTAGAAGCTGTAAAAGCGCTATAGGATTTCATTCATTCAGCAAATATTTATTGAAGGTGTACTCTGTGCCAGGCACAATGATAAGTGCCAGGACTACAGTGTCTTGGCTCTCATTGAGCTTACAGTTTTGTGAGGGCTGCAGAAAAATAAATAGGCAATTACAGTATAGTATGGTAAATTCCACAATATTTAGGAATCCACTTTTAAGTACTTGCCTTCACAGAGCTCTCAGTCTAGCAGGGAGGGACAGACAAATAACTATCTGATGTACCATCCAGTACATATGTGCCATGATGTAAGGAGATATACAGGGAACTTGGAAGCCAAGAGAAGGGACACCTAACTCAAACTGGGGAGCTGGGAGGAAATGATATTTCGGCTGAGATCAAAAGGAAGGATTGGCATTTTTAGCTAGGCAAAAATGAGCAAAGTGTATTTGAGGCAAAGGGAACAATAGTGTTAAATGTTCATGGTTAGAAGCAGCGTGGCTCACTTGAAGTGACTGTGGCTGGATCAGAGGACTGGGGTATGTTGCACGTAGGGTCAACAGGAAATAGGAATGAGACTAGAGAGGTAAGCAGGGCCCTGATCACACAAGCCTTTATAAGGAGTTTTATCACACCATATCTAATTTAAAGTCGTTAACTAAGATAGTGTAAGCTTAGACTTTTGGCTCAGGTTTCTACTTTGGATTTAGTATGTGAGCTTGCCCTGTTTTCAGTATATTTCTCTTTAGCGTGAAAATTGTTAATCATTTCACAAAAATGAGATGAAACAATATTTTGAAAAAAACCCAAATAAACCAAAAACCACCCTCTGTTTATTAGTAATTATTCTCTGTGGCTCTAAAACCAGATTTCCCAAGATGGTTCTTCAAGGGCACCTTGAAGTAAAAATGTGTGTTACAGTGGAGGCCTGTGTGGTGCTGTGCCAGAGTGTGATAAACAGTGCATGTTTCTGGTTTCAAAGATTCCTAGTGTAACGAGTGAAAGGAGCAGAGTCAGAATGGACTGAAGGAAACTAAGTGGTTTTTTGGTTTAACCATTCTTGAAGAGATCAGAGCCATGGAGATCCCAGAAGGGTTGTGATATAGCCTTGGGATTTCCAAATCTGGATTCACTAATTTGTAGTGTTGTTTTAGGCTTACATATAATGAATTATTATGTTTTCTCTTCTTTGTAGAAAGAAATTCAAGCCATGAGTCAGTGCCATCATCCTAATATTGTGTCTTACTACACGTCTTTTGTGGTAAAAGATGAGCTGTGGCTAGTCATGAAGCTGCTAAGTGGAGGTGAGTAGAGTACAATGAAATGTTAACTTCCATAGGCTGGAAAGTTAATAAAAATGTTCTTTTCTATCCTGGTTTGGTTTTCATGGACATCTGCATTTAAGGAGATACTAAGAATATAGTATTTCCTACTGATGCTGGTGTAAGAACTGAGATGGGGCCAGCCCGGTGGCGCAGTGGTTAAGTTCACATGTTCCACTTCGGTGGCCCGGGGTTCGCCGGTTCGGATCCTGGGTATGGACATGGCACCGCTTGGCACGCCATGCTGTGGTAGGCATCCCACATACAAAGGAGAGGAAGATGGGCACGGATGTTAGCTCAGGGCCAGTCTTCCTCAGCAAAAAGAGGAGGGTTGGCAGCAGCTAATCTTCCTAAAAAAAAAGAAGAACTGAGACAGGTTTCACACATTGCATTTGGTCGTCGTGCCTCTTAACTCTCTCTTAATCTAGGATGGTTCCCTCCCACTTCCTCTCTTCCATGACCTAAACTTCTTGGAGGGTCTGGTCTGAAGGGTCTGATGATAACTGTCTTGTAGAATGTCCCACATTCTTCTGGATTTGTCTGGTTATTTCATCCTGGTGATGTTTAACTTGATTTATATTCCTCTATTTCTTGCAAATTGAAAATTAGACTGAAAAGTGCGATTAAAGTATTTTTAAACAGAATATTTTGTAGGTAATGCTGTGTACTTCATATTGTATCACATATCAGGAAGTGTTTGCTATCTGGTTGTATCTTTAATGGTGATTTAAGTTTGATTGCTTAAGATTATGATGGCCAGGCCGCTTCATGGAAAAGGTAACTTTTTTTCCCTTTGCAGCTAGCAGGTAATCTGTAAGATAATACTTTGGCACTGTGAGTATTTGGTTTCTGTAAGTCTTTTGTCTAATGATTTTAGCATCCATTAGCAATCTTTGTTTGAATCAATTATTTTATCCAGGGGTTACAGAATGGTGATTTTTCTTATTGCATCCTTTCTTTTACATTTACAAACTGGCATTCTTCTGTGTAAAGGAACTTTACCTTATTAACTGGGGCTCTTTGATTAATCTCTACTGTAATTCTTATGGAAAAGGCAGGATAAATAATTGATTCTTCTTTTTAAGGACCAATTTTCAGAGTAAAGAGTTAGTTTAATAATCACCTCCAGTGGTAGTAAATCAGAGGGTTTTTGATTTTTTTTCTTTTTCCCATTGGTTAAGGCTTTCATTTTTTTTAGTATCATTATGTAGTCTCAAGGATTTTTGTATATTCTATATAGTTCAGTCAATTATACTCTATTCTTCGGATGCTCAGGTTGTCCAACATTTTGTTAGTGGGAGTCCCTTCAAGCTTACTCTTGTGTCCTTTTCACGTGAATCCATCAATCATTGATAATGTCCTTGTTTTTCTGTTCAAGATTTCCTAGGTTCACCTTTATATTGCTTCTCTCAGACCCAGAATCAGCCAATATTCTTTTTTATGGGGAATGGTATTTAGAAAGCATAACTTGAATGCTTGGGCTGCTCATTGCTACTACTTTGTCACTGCTTCTAGTTGAAAGATCTTGGAAATATAGCATATTAAAAATAAATCATGATTTGACACTAATACTCTCAATTCATGTTTAACATTACAGACCTTTAAAACTTTAAAATTATACTTGAATCTCTTTTCTCTTCACAGAAAATCTCGGTCCTCAATATTAGCATAATTAATTATGTGCTTTATCCTGCAATATGTGTACAATTATTTCTGCTTTAGTTGTTAGAATAAAATGTAAGTATTGCTGATTGCAAATGGTGGACCCTTGGCATGTGTAGATTGAATATTTTGTTATGGTTACCTGAAGACCCATGCCGTGTAGTAAATTAGACATTTTGCCAAGGCGTGGATTTGAATCATGTGGCAAGATTGAGAGGACTAATGAGTGATGGAGCCACCTGACTTTCCCATCACAATGCTGCTTGGTTTTTGTTTGTGTGTGTATTTTGTATAGGAGCGTAATTTTCCATTTTAGAATGTAGGGTTACAGAAAAGAGAATCCATGTTCTTTTGCAATTTTAATACCCTACATCATTGAACACCTTACTTCCCCAGAGAGGCTGTAAAGGAAAGAGCATAGGCCTTAGAATTAAATTCCAGCTTTTTTACTTAGCAGTTGTATTTTATTGGACAAACTATTTCAGCTCCTTGAACCTGTTGACTTGTCTGTTAAATAGAGATAGCTTTCTGTATTTCAGGGTATTGAGGAGGAGTCTACGAGGTAGTATAAGTAGAGCATCCACCACTGTGCTCACATGTAGGAGGGGGACAAGAAATTTTAGTCATTAATAATAATAATCCCTTGTTATTTGATGCCTTTCAGTGTAGCCAGAATCACCTTTTTGTTTCAATCCCATTAGTGACACACTGGAGAAACTGGATTGCTTTGTTAAAGGCCCTGTTCATATGATGGTTGGAAGCCTTGCTAACACCAACTACCTTTCAAGATGGTGGTCAAGCATGGTTCTTTCAGTATGGACAGATATGGGAATATTAGGTAATACTGTATCTTTCATTATTGATCACTTATAGCATAATTTTCTTTATTTGTAATTTAGAAAAATGTGTACTACAAAGTTTTTAATGCTTTGCTAAAAAGTCCTCTGATGACTAGGAATAAATCCTCTGCTTAATTTTCTCATCCATACCTGAATGCCAGCCCATCCTTTCTGCTACTCCTAAGTAGAATGACTTTTTTTTTTTTTTTAAAGAACTCAGTGGGTATATGTCGTGATCACAGAAGGGGCAGAACATGTAGCTGGCTGGGCTGTCTTTTAAATGCACTATTGTGTCCTTCCTGGTCTTAAGTTTCCTGAGTCAGTGCCCAATTTTTCCAGCCTAGTATTAAGCAGATTTCCTGGAGGATAATTTCCAGACATGTTCCAGGCATTAATTCTTTTCATAATTACTTATTTTTTTTTTTTTTTGGTGAGGAAGATTGGCTCTGAGCTAACATCTGTTGCCATTCTCCTCTTTTTGCTTGAGGAGGATTCACACTGAGCTAACATCTGTGCCAGTCTTCCTCTATTTTGTATGTGGGATGCCACCACATCGTGGCTTGGTGAGCAGTGTGTAGGTCCATACCTGAGATCTGAACCTGTGAACCCCAGGCTGCTGAAGCGGAGCACGCAAACTTAATTAACCACTATACCACAGGGCCAGCCTCCATAATTACTTACATTTTTATGAGTCAACGTAATCTTACATCTAAACCTTGTAAAATATTTAAAATTTTGCATCGTATTTAAGGAAAATGAAATTTTGCTTTTATACTTGTAAAGTGAATATGCATTTAAACTGAAGAGATACATTAAGCAATATTTAGGAAACAAAAAGTAGAACTAAGTACAACTTTGAATTTTTTTAAAATAGGAGGAAACTCTGTCAAGATAGCTCAGTTAAAATGCCATTCATCAAATACTTATTGATCACCAATACATTGGCAAATCAGACTGTTGGTTTCTTGTTCTTATAGCTAATAAGGAAAAGTTACACTTGAATAATTGTGTGTCGAGTGCCATGAAGAAGTATCAGGTGCCATGGGAACAAGTACCAGGAGAACCTAACCTCATTAAGGGAGAATGGATATGGTGGAGTTAACAAAGACTTCCCTCAGGAGGTGATGTTCAGCTGAGACCTAAAGAATAGATAATAATTACCCAGGTGAAGTGGGAGGTGGATGGGAGTAGTGATCCAGGTGGAGGGGATGCCGTGCAGAGAAGGGTCTGGAGGCAGGAGGGAACTGTTGTGTGTCTTGGGAACTGATGGGGGATCACAGCTGAAACAGAGAGAGAGAGAGGAGAGGACCATTGATAATCAGGGGCTGCTGTTGAATAATTAAAAAATATAAATAACCAAAGTTAACAGAAATATGTATAGGCTGCCTTCTTTCACATCAACATTTTTAGCCAAAATATTTAAAACAAAAGCCTTTTTTTGAAAGGAAGATTAGCCCTGAGCTAACATCTGCCACCAACCCTCCTCTTTTTGCTGAGGACGATTGGCCCTGAGCTAACATCCATGCCCATATTCCTCTATTTTATATATGGGACGCCTGCCACAGCATGGCTTGATAAGCAGTCCATAGGTCTGTGCCTGTCATCCGAACTGGCAAACTTTGAGCCGCCAAAGTGGATGGGTGAACTTAACCACTAGGCCACTGGGCTGGCCCCAGCAAAAGCATGTATATATATATATTTTTTTCCAAGTAATTTTATTGAGAACATGATGGTTTATAACATTGTATAACTACAGGTATACATTATTGCTTATCAGTTTCTGAATACACTTCATCGTGCCCACCCCTAGTAATCTAATTTTTATCCATCACCATACATATGTACCTCTTTATCCCTTTTGCTGACCCCCAGCCCCCTTCCCCTCTGGTAACTGCTGATCTGTTCTCTTTATCCATGTATTTGTTATCTTCCACATATGAGTGAAATCATGCAGTATTTGTTTTTCTCTGTCTGGCTTATTTCGCTTAACATCATACCCTCAGGGTCAATCCATGTTGTTGCAAATGGGATGATTTTGTCTTTCTTTATGGCTGAGTAGTATTCCATTCTATATATATGTGTGTGTGTATATATACACACACACATATATATATACATATATATACACCACATCTGCTTTGTCCATTCATCTGTAGAAGGGCACTTGGGCTGCTTCCACATCTTGGCTATTGTGAATAATGCTACAGTGAGCATAGGGATGCATAAATCTCTTTGGATCATTGATTTCAAATTCTTTGGATAAATACTCAGTAGTGGGATAGCTGGCTTGTATGGTAGTTCTATTTTTAATTTTTTAAGAAATCTCCATACTGTTTTCCATAGTGGCTGCTCCAGTTTGCATTCCCACCAGCAGTGTATGAGCATTACCTTTTCTCCATATCCTCTCAAACATTTGTAGTTTTTTGTCTTGCTAATTATAGCCATTCTGACAGGTGTAAGGTGATATCTCATTATAGTTTT